TCCCCTCTGCTGTTCCAAAACCAATGAAAAACGGCTCTGATTTTCATCGACTTGAGGTCGGTCTGGAGGGTTTTTAAGGAAAAGTATTAATCCTACCGTAATTCCGAAGACATTGTGTGGGTCCAGAGATTTCAGTCTACAAACTGACCAAAAATGGTGACTCTAGCTATAAATATGTGGCCGTGAGGGCGAGTTTAAAATGTTTTTGGGTCTTAAAAAAACGGCTGCCTCACACTCTAGCTTTTCAGTCTCTCCACTCTAGAAGGCTGGATTTTGCCAAAACTTTGTGGCGCTTGAGGTCTGATTATACAAAAACCGTAGCAGTTATCAACATGCCGTCTTCAGTTTTATGCAGACGAAGGATTTATCTACAAACTGAGCTTTAAACTGTTTTTCTACGTGAATGTATGCCAACACAGTGAAGCGCTGTTTTTTATGCTGTTTTTTTCCTCTCCCCATTCATTTCCTATGGGAATTTTTTGCGACGTTTTCGCTAATAATTCGCAAACCTTCGGACTAATGAGAAAGTTTTATACAAGCACGCATCGCCCCATTGGTCTCTACGCGTGTGCCAACTTTGGGCCCGATCCGACGAATGGTGCGTGACTAGTTACGCGCCGAAGTTTTTGGTGGCGAGGAGAACTATAAGCTATAATAAAAATAATACGCGGAATAAATATGTGAGATAGTAGTAGGTGGGCCATGCCTTCGGCATGTGGCCCCCCTAATTAAGCAGTACATATTCCAGAAAACATCTCAACTTGAAAATAGTTTTCTCAATTTCCAAATGTAGTTTGCACAGTGGAATATCTAAAAATAAAATAAAATCCAATGGGATTTTGTCTCAGCTTCTCACTATTTTAAAAGTAAGTTGATTATAAAACAATAAACTAACAATCATCTCAACTACCATGACAATAATAAAATTTAAACCCCATGTTACTGACATTAGTTTTTTTTTTTATAAACAAAATGTACTAGTATTCGTATTTAATCTCGAAGATGAAAAATAAAAAGAAACATTGGAGAACAAAAACTCAGATTTAAAAGAGAGCCGAACTTTACCAATAATTACTGTGCACATGTCAAAAATATATTATTGTAGAACAAATTCACGCTGTACTTCTGAATGTGTTGTCTTAGTAACTAGGCCGTTGCCATGGTGTACCGCATCATCCTATAAGATTGGTTGTCTGCTCGATCCATTTTCCTGCTGTTTGCTCCTTAAAGGCTTCAGTTGAATGATGAAAAATATAGTATCATGCTTTTTGTTTTCATATATGAAAATTGTATTTTACCATTTTATAATAAAAAAAAATAGTGTACAATGCAGCGGCCCGAGGAGCATTACAATAAGTTAATAGCATAGCATGATAGCAAGCTGCAGACTTCCTTTCCCGCTATTAAAGATAAAACCCTTGCAGTGAAACTCTATTTGACTCCAAGCAATAGACTGATTGTTTTTATTTGCAGTAACGTATGGAGCTACCACTTATAGGTGGGGGAAATTGGTCTGTCTAGCAGGGTTGTGCTACATTGACGCAAAGCATCGCGTCCCCATTTTAGAGAGCGTACTGTCAGCCTTCGTTCGTCGCGGCACCGAAAACCCGCGCGGCCTGCTAACAGGCCTCGGATGCTAACACCGTTAGCATTCAGCTTCACAGGCCTTGAAAACAGCATGGCGCCCATTCGCATGTTGTAAACTATCGAGACACGAAACCTCGACGTACACTAGTAAATCTCTCCGATTATAAAAAGAAAAACTATATATTCGATTCTTACCAGCTTATGGGGTAGTTGCTGTTTCTACTCCCCGCTTCTATTTATCCTCCTTTTAGATAACGTTGCCTTCGAGTCAGCCTGACGTCGAGAAGAAGCGGAGGAAGGAGGACGTGACCACGTGACGCCTCTACAGGACATACTCAGCATGCTCCTTATCTTGCTTACTATCCACTATTTTCATCCACACCAAAAAGCTTCCATTTATTATATATTTGTAAATGTTCAATATATATCACAAATACATAGAAAATGTATTTAAATCTATTAGAGGCGATGAAATACAAAGAAATTAAAAATCACAATTTCCTTTTATTAACAAAAAAACAAAACAAAAAAACATAAAGAGCATTGTGTATTTGTGCCTAGTAGAGCAAGTTCGTTTTCAATTACTAAAGAGGTACAATTTTAAATAAATACAATAGTAAAACATATGCACATTTTAATATTGCAGCAGCTATAACCAATACATATGAAAGATAAAGAAGTAATTTGGTCTAATTTCAGCAGTATTTATTAACCATTAAAAGTAAAAGAAGTCTACATTTGGTATTTTTAAAATATGAAACAAAAAAAGAACACATTTACCAAAACAAGTGTAAAGAGTTCATAAAAAAGACATAAAATAAATGCTTGACAGTTTATTGCAGACATCATCTTTATGGAAAAAGATGGCCTGTCATTTTCTAATGCAGTTACTTTAAAATTCTAAAACAGTGCTTGGAGCAGTTTTTTTCCCCTCCTTTGTCTTTAACTGTAGCGCAGTGGGTGATATTTGAAAGGTTGTTGTTCCATCATCATCATTCGTCCCATCGTAGTAAGCAAAACCAACTGCATAATAATGGAAAAAGGGAAAGCAACATTTCGTTAACTGCCCAAAAGTAAAATATAAAACATACTAAAAAAAAACACCAACAACAAAAAAAAAAATCTATGAAACAGGATTCAAACATGCCTTAGAGGCATTACCTCTAGGGAATATGAAAGATTTGTCTAATCAATTTTTGTGATTGTTTTTTTTCTTTCTTATAAAATAGTTTGTAAACACTTTTGGAAATAATTTGATATAATTTTTAAATTTGGTCAAAATGAAAGCTAAAAGACTGAAAGGCCAACATTATACTCACAATACAATACAATACAAACAACACAAAGACAAAATAAGTTAGCAGTACTCAAAAACAGAATTAAATCAGTTGCCACAATTATTTTGACTTCTGAAACACAAACATTTGAGTATGACAGAGCTTATATATTTGGAGTGTATTTTAAATGTACATTTTAATTATAATTAAAGTAAATTTACCACTTAAGAGACCTCAAAATTCTTCAGTTTGAGGTATATTAATGCATACTACTGACCCCAAAATGGCAGAAAAAGCTAAATTCACCAACTTGAACATCTAACAACTTTGATTGCCAGCATCTCTGAATATATTGGATATATACAGCATAGGTAGCTTGTGTGTTTTTAAAGGAACTATAAATACTAAAATGTGAAATGGTTTTGGACAACAAATAATAACCTCAGGAACACTCTTAGCTCAAGAAAGCCCTTGTATATGTTTGAGTACGGTAAGCAATACAAACAAAGATCTGGTCTATCTGTAGTCCACATCTTTAACAAAAAACATTTGCCTCAAAACTATATATATATATATATATATATATATATATATATATATATATATATATATATATATATATATATATATATATATATATATATATATATATATATATATATATATATATATATATACACAGCGGTTGAAATAAGTATTGAACGCGCCACCATTTTTCTCAGTAAATATATGTTTTTAGAGGTGCTATTGACATGACACTTTCCCCAGATGTAGGTAACAGTGCATTTAGGGCTGAAACAATTAATAGGATTAATCGTTTATTGAAATAATCTTCAACTAATTTAGTAATCGATTAATCGTTAAATGGAGTGTGAAGAGTGTAAAACAACCTTAACTGATAGAGTAACTCACTATTAATCCTATCAAAACTGTAAAAAGATATATAATGATTTTGCATTTAGGATTAAAAATTTTTTTTACGTCTGTCAATATGCTCTATCCAATACTCCTCAAGTGGAAATGTTTTAGTTTCACCTGGTTTAATTTTGAAATTATGTATAATAATGTGAAATGGCACATCATCAGAGATGAGCATAAAGTGAGTCACCACATGGAAAGCTGTAATAGACAAGAACAGGACCAATTGCCAACACTAAAAACCACAGAAAGTTGTAAAGTTGACTCCCAAGGATTTATTGTTGATCTTTTCTAACTCACCCATGGCTAAAATGATGTATAAATCTTAATATATATAGTCACACATACACCTACATCTTGTAATGAGTTATGCAATCCAAGTGGAACAAGAAAAAAATTTAACTTTATTGATCTCACAATGGAGAAATTAACTGTCTGCATTTAACCCATCACCTTTGGGGAGCAGTCGGCTGCCATTGTGCATCGCCCGGGGAGCAGTGTGGGGTTAAGGGTCTTGCTCAGGAACCCAGAATGGAGGCTGTGGGGATTGAACCGGGTACTTGCAACCTTCTCAGAGCACAAACGCACTGCTCTAACCACTAGGCCGACATTCCACTTTTTCTTTTCTTTTTCTTTTTTTTTAAAGAAAGAAATTGAACTTTACTAGACCAATGACATTAATTTGTTGTACGTTATCATGATCTGGTGTTGCTTTGGTTTCTGTTGGTTAGCTATTATTTCCCAGCACTGGTTGCTCAATGCTCAGAATAGAAATAAAAGATTAAAAAAAAATGACGGAAGAACCCTTATAAGCCATTTTATGACCTCAGTGGTTATAAGTATGCTTTTAGGATTCAGGGTAAGGTGTTCAAACCTAAAAAATACTGTATCAAATAGGGCTCGTAGTGGCAGCATCATGCTGTGGGGTTACTTTGTTGCTAGTTATCCAATATTTTAAAATTCCCTCAGATAAAAATCTAGATCATTCAATATGGTGTTTCAACAAATTAAAGCAGGACATGATCAGAGGCCCATCATGTAAAAAATAAAAATAAAAAGATGTGAACCGTACGCAATAGCTGGGGCTGTGCAAAGAAGACTGATCAAACATCAGGCCAGAATTATGCAATTTTATGATGTTTTTTTTTTTTTTTGATGGCTTAAAAAGAGTATGTGGTTAAATTGGAGTTTGCTAAACGAAATCTAACCTGATATTAGTGTGGGTGTACAAATATATTTGAGCCTGCACGTTTCTGTCTTTTCTTTGTTTATTGTTCATTGATTAAAGCTGTCTGTTGTAAGTTGTTCCCCTTTAGGAAAAAAAAACTTCCTTTAAATCCTGAAAAGCTCAGGCCATCTAACTGGAGCTGTAACTGGTTGTTTGATTTCAGAGGGAGTTGTAAATTCTGCAGGTGTGTTTGATGACATCATTGCACACTTACATTTATAACCAAAGACGCATTAACTTTTTTTTCCTTCTGGCTCAATAAAGGTAATAAACTGACATCACCTTGTGAAAACTCTTTTGTCACTTATGCAGTTAGATAATAAAAAAATCATGGTTAGAGATAACATAAAGGTGAGAAAGTTTTTCCCCTGAAAGACTTCTTTTTTTTTTGCATTTTGTTGTACCCAAATCAAACAAGTCAAACTTGTGAAGATGAAATTAGTAAGTGCAAAACAAAATGTATGGTCTCCCCTGCACACAGGTTTTCTTCTGTGAATACTCAACATACTAAAACTACCCATACTGCACATCAAATATAACCAATATATATGCTGAATGCACTTACTTTACTGCTTATTGCATCTCTGCTTTAATGCTAAACTACATGTCACTGCTCTGTACCTGCACATGTGTGATGAAAATAAATTCTATCTCATGTAATCTAATCTGATCAATGTGTTGCTTTGCTTGACTTTTTATCATCTCGTAGTAAATGTAGACAGATTAAACAGTTAAAAAATATAATGCACAAACCTCAGTTAAAAAACCCAGAAGACAGCTCCACATGATAAAACTCAGGATGAACTTAAAAGTCTCCTGCACCTTTATTTGACAGCCCTGGAGAAGAAAAATGTTAGAGAATAAAACCATAAAAATACTATTCCAAAAACAGCTTCAGCTTAAATGTCTGAATTTACTTTATGTACCTCAGAGTAAAGTTCCCAATACTGATTCACGCTGCCAGTACATGACACAAAGGTAGAGTTACAGCAGCTGCGAGGAAAAAGTTTTCCACCCGTGTGATTGAACCAAGAGGTGTCCAACCAGTCGGTGTAATTGCTGACTCCACAACATTGGAGCTGATAGAGATACAATATATGAAGTCAATCAAAACATTTCAAATAAGGTTTTGATGATGGAACACTTTGGAGAACTTCTTGGATCCCTCTGAACAGATAAATGGTTATTTATTTCCCTAAATAGGAATGTCCCAAACTGTTTTTGATATCAGAAATTGGTCTGAGGTTCTCCAAACAAAGAATATTGGAAAATGTTGGCTTTTATCTAAAAACTACGATATAAGCAAGCTGATGGAAACACTGTTCTTCTTTCTGTTCCTGTACTGTATACATTTTATGTAACCCATAGGTCAATAATAAAGGTCAGTTGTTCGCATACTGTCATCTACACTACAAAATGAGAATAAAAATAATAACAGTATATTGAATGAGTTTCCCTAAGTTTTGAAAAGAGCCGTCCTCTCCACTTCAAAAGAAAAATGCAATGCATATGCATGCTTTTGCAGTGTTGTTGACAAGTTGCTGTTTGCATCGCTCATACAAGCTTACTTTCCAAAAGAAGATTTGCAATTTTTCCAATGTTACGACCCTTGGCCATTTTCAAAGAACAAAGGTGAGAAACGAGAGCTTCAATGCTGAAACCATAGTTTACCACAGATATACACCTGAAAGTGTGCATGCTCAGGAAAAGATAGCTATCTAGGGAGAAGCACGTAGCACGGCCTTACATAAACAAATCACAAGAATGATTGACAATTACTAGGAGGACCACTTATTTACATGATACACCTGGAAAAGAAAATCTTCCCCTATACCAATATTATTATCAATTATAGCAAACAATGAAATGTAAATCAAACATTAAGAAGACATTAAACACATTCATTTTCTTAACTGTGACCATTTGAGGTTGTGAATTATTACATGACAAACATATTAAGGCAACAAACATGAATATGTTTGAATATGAATGTTTTCTGTTTTTTAAGAGCTACACACCTCCTTTTGAGTTGCATCAACAGTCTGAGAGTTTATGTCCTGACTGCTGCCAGTGTATTTCTCAAACACCTCGCTGAGAGACGCTGTCTCAGAACCCATCTGAAAAAGAGAGAGGGAAGAGAAATTGAATTTTTGTTTTTTAATTAGGAAAAAGTATGAGCTTTTGTACAGGAGGAATACCTTTCTAAAATGAACGTAGGCCAATGCAGAGGCGGTGCTTCCCAGGCAAAAGATCACAACCAGCAGATACACAAACTTGAGAAGAAAGCGCATTAGCAAGTGCGTTCAAATATCTGGTAATCATGCAGTTAAAGGGGTAACCCTATAAGGGGCTGTAAGGGGCATTATTCTAAATGTGGTCTCATACTCAGAGCTGAAACACTCTCACACATGCTACTGAAATGTTTTACATTTATTTCAATTCAAATGGGGGGGGGGGTGCTTTGATAGAAATGGAAGGGGGAAAAAGTTGTATGTTAAGATGAACCGACAGCAGCTCAGTGGCTAGGAAGAAGCTTAAAAGAGGCAGTGGAATAAGCATTTGTAAATAAGGATGCTTATGATTCCAGGAATCATCATTTTAAACTGCATTGCCTGCACTTTAAACACCATTACCTAAAGTTTAAAAAGACTGTATTTTGATAGGATACATGAAACCAAGATGTGTTTGTATTTGTTTGTCATTTTTTTCTCACTCCAATCATTAGTTTCTGATATAAAACTTAAGCATAAATTCATTCTGGAAGACTCTTATCAGCTTCACCTGAACCACATGCGATGTAACGCATTCAGCTCGAGCCGATCAACTCAGGGAGATCCCTGAGGCCATCTTCCAAGGTCCCCTTCATTTAGCTCCTGACCCAGCTTCTCCTCCCTCATTCTCAGTCACACTCTATTCCTTCTCTATGTTACTCATCCAGGCATATGTTCACAGCATCAAAGTCCTCTGCCAGGGCGCGAGCGCCAAAGAACTTATTCCATTCATGTTTTCATCTACTTCCGTCTCCTTGAACCCCAGTCGGCCTCAGCAGATGGCCACTCACACTGAGCCTGGTTCTGATAAATTGAATATTTTCTAATTGCAACTTCTCTCTGTGTGAGTCTCTCCAGGTTGAAATATTGTGCAATGAAAAGAAGGTTGAATTATTTTTTCTTAGAGCTTGTCAATGCATTGAGAATCTACAGAGAGGAGATTTGACCAATATTTCTCATAACAGGCTTTTAGGAAAACTTGATTACCATAGAAGAAGATTATCAATGTTTCGTCATTTCAGTAGTGTTAATAAGAGTGTTTCAGTAGTATGTATGAGTGCAAATTCAGAATAATATCCCCCATATAACCTCACCAGTCCTTGTAGACAACGGGAGTCCTTGAGGCTCAGCCATGTACCAAGGAAGCCGGTGCAGAGCAGAAACGCAGCACTGCAGAGTGTAAAAACGGCTGAAAGGATGATATAATTCTGAGAAAAAAATAAGCTGTAGTGTCTGTGCGTCATCAGAAGGTAGATTCCACCCATGGCCAAAACAAGCCCCACCACCTTGCAAAGTGAAAAAAAGATAAACATTGTATTAATACCATCTTGGGGCACATCCTTAAAAGCCATGACCACAGATAAACTTGAAAGCATAGCTTCCTTTCTTTGATTATAGGAAGCAGCTGTTTTTGTAAACAGACCCTTATCATGCTATAGAGGGGCTAAAATGTTGCCTCCTATACAATCACATCAACACGTCTCTTTGGGGTATTTGAAATTCTGTATTTGGTCACAGGAAAATGACACAGTCACTTCTGCCTGTGTTAGGGGCAGATCACTGTGAATGTTAAAGGAAAAATATTTCATCAAACTATTTCACTTAAACAACAAAATCTGAGAAAGTGGGTCGCGCATTTGTATCCTTTCCCCTTTATTCCTTACACTACCGAATAAAATCCAACATATAAATTAAATCAGTATCTTAATTGAACTGTTATTGATCATAGTATAAACGTCTTTGAAGGCTTTCCTGCCTTAAAAAGAATGGACGGCAGGAAAGATTTCCTCAACAACCGTTCCCAGCGAGTGAGAGTAAACGGCCATCATTCTGGACTGTCTTTCATATCTACAGGCTCTCCTCACCACTTCTCTACATCCTCTACACTGATGACTGTCGTTCTGAAACCGACATTCGCCACATTGTCAAGTTTGTGGACCACACTGTCATTGTGAGCTTGCTGGAGGACAGTGAAACAGCACATGGCCCCATCGTGGACTATTTCACAAACTGGTGCCAGGAAGCCATGCTGGAACTGAATGTCACTAAAACAAAGGACATGTGTATTGATTTCAGGCACAACACCTGCAACCCATCTACAACCAAATGGGCAAGACATTGAAATTGGGTCTATTATAGATGACAAATTAACTTTTAACAGCAACACAGACAGACTAAAAACCTGAATTATGTTGGGATCTGGAGATCTGCCAGCTGTCTCCAGCAGAGAGCGCTATGGGTCTCCTGAGCTGGAGCCTCCTGCACACCTGAGGATCATCAGCCCATCAGGAGACTAGCTACATAAGCAGCGGCCAGACCTGTCTTCAGCGCCGGAGTGTTGACCAGTTTTGGTTAGCAGAACCTGAGCCTCAGCCTGAACTTAGAATCTCTGTCTGCTCTGGAGAGTAACCCTGATCCTAACCAGTCTCTGTCTTCTCTGCTTCATAGGAAAACCTGATTGAAGTCTGTAGCTCTGGAGGAGCTCATGTTTGGAAACCTGCCTGCCCAGAAAGCCAAAGCTGAAGATCCTCAGTCTGTATCTCCCAGTTAGTTCTCAGGAGAGAACTAGGAGAACAACTCAAGGTCTGAACCTCACTAGCCTGAAGCTAAGCTCTGCCGCTGCTAAGCTCTCTGCTGAATCCACAGTCTCTGGACCCAACCGGTTCCCTCTCTCCACCAATCAGTCTGAACCTCATCAGGTACAAATCAGCATCAAAACTCTGTCAAGACATC